AAGCACCCGAAGCGCGCTCGCTTCCAGGGAACAGAGGGAACATGGGGTTCCCACACAGGGGGGGGGGGGCGTCTACTCGTCTGTAGATGGCCCGAGGTATGTCGGAGCACCAGGGACTTCCTTTCTAGGGTATACCTGGTTCCCCGGATATTAGTATCCGAGACGGTGTGCGGTTTGAGTCGGTTCGAGTCCGACATGCCACCGATAGATGGTATCCGTGGGATTTCCGCACGGAAAAAAAAGGTGGATTGTTGAAATCAGTGAGATATTAGTAGATTAATTTAGCCTACTGGATTAATTAAATGATGCGATTTCAGTAAATATATTAATCCTAATTAATTTATGATAACTGTAGAAATGTATTGTAACAAGTATTCTCAAGTAACGTAAAAGTAAGCATGATATCTTATAAGCAATGTATATATGTATAGCTAAGCAACGCTTCTGTAATGTTATATCATAATAAGGTGAAAACAAAGAGATCTCAATACATCTCTAGGTAGTTCAAGAGTAACATTGCCTCGAAAAGATTTCAAAAGGATTTCCACGTGATTTCATACTTCATACATATAATGTTGTAACGAATACGTACTTTGAGAAAGCTTTTCTAGGACTTCGTCATAATATAGATTTTATAGTACACACAGTAAAGAAAGAAGCAATAAAAGAAAAAAAACTGTTGATGATAATGTACAAGAAAGCAGGCAAAAAATTTAATGGACGGCATTCAATATTTTGTACAAAAACCATGCATATACAAACGACGCAACTGATTTAGCATCAAGTTGATTAATATTGTTGACGTAAAATTACAACCGTAAACGAGAAACGTACCCGTCAAATTACTTCGCAAGATTCGTCCTCGGCTTCTCCGTTCGTAATTTAGTTGACGACAAACTTTACGAAATTAATGTATTCAATTTTAAATGCGCGTCGCAAAATAGGTAAATCGAAGCCAACGTAGATAAATCTACGTCTCCTGTTCGGCGAAGGTTCATAAGTTTCTAAGCCACTCGTAATTAAGTTGATCGTTTCAATCTTTTAATATTAATTTTCATAACTTTCAAAAATAATATTTCCTACTTATTTCATTACACTTAAATTATTTACTGTCAGAACTACAACGAAAGGAATCGTACGATCTTGCGCTTATTTAAAGTACGATGTAAAATTTGCTATTCCCATGTCCTGTAATTAAACAAGAAATACACCAATACTAGTTTTTTTAGGTTTTTTGTTTTTGGCTGCATCATCATCATCTCAGCCGAAAGACGTCCACTGCTGGATATGTCTTCCCCCAAGGCTCTCCACAACAACCGGCCTGTGCTGCCTGCATCCATCTGTTTTTGATTCAGCTTTGCCACAATAAAAAAAAGATCAGTGTTTTTGTAATCTTTCGTAACTGTGCTAGTTACTAGTTCTTTATATTTACTGTATTTTAGTAATAATGGAAAAATAACGTGATTAGCGTGATTGAAGACCTAGCCTTCCATGATTTTCGTCAAACTTTGTTACTTTTAGGAGTTATGTATCCCAGTAAATGTTTATATCCGTAGTTTTTAATAACTCAAATACTAGTCTGGTCACATAAATCAAGAGTTACAAAAATGAGATGCTAATATGATCGGGGGATTTAACCAATAACAATATAATTTATTTTTCTGACTAACTTTACTTAACAGTTTCATTTCCTAGATTATGACGTAACTGTACATGAATTTATTTAACAAATTTTTAATACTAAATAGTTCAAAAGCAGGTCAACTTCAATACGTATAAGAAAAAACCACCTAAGGACAAAGAATTCATAAGTGAATATATGAATAATACGGTCGCACTTCTAAAAGCTTAAAACTTTCAGTGTGAAAATATTGCAAAATGGCGCGACTCGCTGCCAAGTTGTATAGAACTATCTGGGTTTCATTTTTGGTGGTCGTTTTTAGTGGAACGCTTGTTATAAAAGCAAGGCAATTTCGCTTATCGCGCATGCCTTGCAAATGGATACGAGAATATAAAGTAGACAACACTACAGTATTCTTGTTATAGCCTTAATATCAAAATATATTTTTTCTCTCTATTTTGAATTTAGTTAAAAGATATTCTTTTTTCACTGCTTTATCGGGATCAATAATGCGCTCATACGTGTGTGAACTCACGTCACTATCAGCAAACGGGCAGGCTGAGACGTATTAGACACAAACAGAGTGAGAGTCATATTAAAAATGAAAGAAATAGCGAGAATTGAGAAGTACAGGGTCATTAAACTGCAACCTATATCGACAAGCGCTGGAAAATAAGAGCCCTCCAATTTAGTTTAGTTATGCATCACTTACAAGTCAACATGATATATTTAATGTATTTTTTATTTTATGATTTTATTGTTGCTGACATACTGACTGATAACTGATTAATATTTAATTACACATTTAAATGCTAGAAAAATCTATAAAGACACACCTACGCCACTAATAGTTACTACTAAGTCATTTAGTAAGAACGATTGGCTGTTTAAAATATCAGAATCGCATACGTGATATCTTGGCATAAAATCTTCTGTTTGTGTAAGAAATATAACAATTTAAATCATTTTATTTAGATCATTTGACGCATCCGCTACTGTACCGTCCAGAGTGTTCCATTATCATAATTTTAATAAGGGAAAAGATCAAAACGCGTGCTTATAATAAAAACAATGGAGCGTCCCATGCGTTCGTAAATGTTTTAGCGGCCTGGACCCTTGCTTTCGCACGCGCCAAACATTTTTAAATAACTTATTTTCACCACAGAGGTTTCTTTTGAAAATAACTTAGCGCAATATCTTTTCGACGAGAAATATTATCAAAACACACCGCAATGGCTTTTTTTTTTGCGTGAATAATGTGTATATGTGTGCATAATATATATTGAGAACGATTTAAAGACTTTTTGGTTATTTATTTGTAAAACTACTTTGCAAACAAGTGAAAACTATCCAGCCGATGAAAACATCTCCATAAATTAAAAAAAAAAAATTTTAGGTGGTGTACTAATTACATCGCCTGTGTAAATATATTCTTGAAGAATCACAGCCTCCAGCAGTACTGTGTATTGTTCTTATTTTACATAAAAACACAGTTACATTTAAAATAACTGTTGTCTTGTGGGTTCCGTCTCTATTGCCACGGGCAACAATGGCACACAGTACTTACGATCTCTTTATATTCCTTAAACGAGGGAGTATTTCTTCAAACATACTTCTGAATATATACATATTGCGGATCTTAAATCTCTCATACTAAAATAATAGAGTTAGGAGGACAATGTTTTAGTTTGCACGGGACACATGGACGTAAAGGCTCTAAAACATACAATTTATTCCTTAAATTAGCCCATTTTTTTAGGTAAGTTTTAGGGTAGTCTAATTTTTTTGGCTGATTACTATAAAGAGCCATTAGTTACTATTAACGCTATATTCGTCTACATTAGTCTGGCTGGTCATTTTCAAACTCTTAAACTTAAATGTAATAATATTTTCTCTTATGGATATTTGTGAAATTTTATCCTCAATATGGTTTTTAATGAACTTTAAATGGAATGGATTTTTTTAATGTAAGAATGGGCATTTATTTAAAATGAGTTTTATCACTTTTACAAGCTTCTATATTAAAAATCGAAAGTCGATTATTTTTTATAAATATTACATAAATACCGATGTATTTCCTTTTTATTGTAAATAGGTTTGTTTTCTCAAAAATTGGCAACTACATATTTTAACTGTAAGTAAGTCTCAATAGACTTTGATTAAATGAGTTTATTTAAACGAGAACTAGTTTTTCTTGTCATTGCAAACAATAAAAGTAATGCTTAAAATATACAACCATACTAAAGTCAAGGTGTTGACAAATTTAAGTGACTAGATACCTAATATCAACATCAAAAATGTTGTTAATAGTAAGTTAGACTCGGTGGAGGGATCAAAGTCTCAGTACTTAAGCTATACTTTACATCAGAAAGTTTTACATAATTTGTACGATTAATATTGTGAGCATTATATAATTTATACCGATGGATCTAAAACAACTATTAGACTAGGTACAGCGTATTTTGATCCTAATACTAAGTTTAATACATTTTCCAAAATTAACAATGAGTTTATATAACAATTCATTATTTGTAGTGTTACAGGCTTTATGCAGTGGTGCAGTCTATTTATCACATGCTTATAGAATGTGTACGGTATGATGGTAAAAGAACCAAATTTAAATTTAAATTAAATCTGAACAATTTTGTCATATTTCAAATCATTTTAGCTGATCCAAATTCGGAGGCAGCTAAAATGCTTTAAAATTTAGTTATAATAATATATGGAGTGACTTAGAATACTAGGTACTATAGGAACAGGATACACTACATAAATACGAAAAATTTATTCCGTCAGTCACAAACACAAATTTCAAAATACCGATTTTCATAATTCCGAATGGTTCAAAAATAATATTAACAATTCCGATTTATCATTCATCCTATGTTTATAATTAAAAAATTTCAATATTCCTAACGTTTCCTAACATTTTATTAACTGTAAAGCAATAATCAAATTATATTTATTTACATGACTTTATCTACTTTTGTACATCAGCGGACTTAATGCACAGGGCCTTCTCTTCCAGTCAACCTAGAACACGGACAGACACCTGTGATGTTAAATGCATTCTTAATCTAATTTTACCTCAAAGTTGTATGTTTGTGATAATGTTTATTTTATTAAAGATAACAATGAGGCAGATATATGTTTCTGTTTCTTCAGAATTTCATTTCAGAATGATGTTTGTTAGATGTTTTTTCAAAGGTTTTCATTTACGTGTAAATAAATAAATGAATAATAATAAATTTACATATTAATTACACAACTATCTTTTACTTAATCTGTAAGCTAAAGAGGCATAGTTGGGTCATTTTTATATATTAGTTAATTTACTCATTTCCAGAGTACTATTGTTCACCTAAATAACTTAATTAACATGCAGAAATTAATACAGTTATCTAAGCAAGTGTGTAAAACAGGTTTCAAGAATATCGGCTCGCCCAAATCGCAAGCCATGAGTCACGGAGTCACGGATATAAGTGAATTGGTCGTTCGCGCACTATCTTCCATATTGGAATATGAAATCCTTACGCGCCACGCGACTGTGGCTTTTATTGCCCGAGTTTTCCTGAAAAGAGTTGCTGATATCTACCCTCTTGATAAATAGTGTTGTTTTCGCCAAACCCGGTCGTGTCTGTTCCCGCGGTTGGGTTCACTATCAACCGTATCCTACCTATTATGGAACGCCACAGTTAACAAGAAAACATCGTCGGCGCCAACATCTTTGTTTATGTCTGAAAGCCTCGATTGGTTTATAGCCCAGTTGATTTCAATAAAAAATTTGATGGAAAACAAGAAATATTATTCTGACACAAATAGCCTGTTTTTAGCATTTTATGTTACGACTCCGATCGTAAGTGGTGTGTTTGTCATTCAGTTACGTATGAGAGATGTTGCTTAAGTATAAAACAGTGTACTATTTTAGTTTCGATGTTTTCGAACCCATTTTAGCGATGCGCAATATCTGTATAACCTTTTTTTTTTTTTTTTCCGTGCGGAAATCCCCTCGGATACCACCTGTCGGTGGCATGTCGGACTCGAACCGACTAAAACCGCACGCCTTCGCCGGGTACTAATAGCCGGGGAACCAGGTATACCCTAGAAAGGAAGGCCCTGGTGCAATATCTGTATAACCTAAGTATTAAATTAAATTAATACATAAATGGTAAAATATATGGTAAAAATACGAGAAATAAATATTAGTTGTATACTATATTTTATGTCAGTCGTCTACATTATTTAAAATAAAACAATGATGTTTCATAATAGCAAATTATCAAACGTCATGAAGAAAAGCAGAATAAAAAATTGCTAAACATGATTGACATTAATAGCGCTTTTGCAACCATTTTTGTTTCCAATTTAGCATTATAAGAAACATAAGTCTGACATAACTCGACTAGTGGTTAGCAGTGTACAGTGGACAGTGGTAGCGTATGCAACTAGTGGTTCGATTCCCGGGTCGGACTAAATGTTTGTATGGTCTGCAAATATTTGTTTTGGAGTCTGGGTGTTTTTGATGTATAATATGTATTTATTTAATATTTTAATATTTCAGACACATCTCACACACGGCGGTCTGATTCCAAACTAGGCAGAGCCTGTATTATGATAACCAGACTGCTGATAAACATAATTGTATATTTCTAAATACATACATATTATAGATAAAGTACACCCAGACACAGAACAAATGAGCGTGCTCATCACACAATTATTTGTTCTGGGTGGGAATCGAACCAACGACCTCTGGCGTAGCAGTCAGGGTCACTAACCACTAGACTTTAGATAGTTATAGGAAAAAAAGTTGTAGGAATGTATTCTATCAGTCAATCTAGCTTTCATTTTACAAGGTCTGCTTATTTTGTAACTAGAAGGCGTTGTGTCTTAGATGTCTGAAATATTATAACATAAGCTCTTTACCATATATATTATGGTGTACGTAACGATGTTTGCATAGACTCTGACACATACATAATTTGTTTTTGTAAAGCATAATGTCTATCATCAAGGTCCTCTTTGTCTATTTCCAATATTTTTAAAATTTGACGACTGGATGGCGTAGTGGTTTGTGTAACGGACTGCTATTCCAAACGTCGCGGGTTCGATTCCCGCTCAAGTCAAACATTTGTGTGCATGAACATTTGATGTTTGATTTGGTCTGGGTGTTTCTATGTATAACATGTATGTATTTACAAAAAAAAAAGTATATATGTATTTATATCAGTTGTCTAGTACCCATAGTACAAGCTCTGCTTAGTTTGGGACTAGATGGCGTTGTGTGTATGTGGTAGAATATTATTATTATTATTTGTTTCGAACTTGTACAAATGTATGTGTAAAACACAAACAGACAGAAAAAGTTTCGCAAATGTAATATTATTGTAGGTGATACTAACTTCTTCAGCAGTAATACATTTTTTTCTGTTATCATAATAAATAATCTTACTAAAGGGAATATATTAAGAAAATCTAACTAGCACCGAAAAATATTAGCGGGTACATTCCTTAGCACCAAAAACCTAAAAGAAGAAAATATTAGCAATTACTTGGAAGAAGAGTATATAAATAATATTTTATATGAGGTGGTTACAATGGCGTCGCTGGGTGGTGTAATGAATCTCATAAATAACGTTGCACGGGGCCGACACGCGAACATTGTTTCAATTAATCTTGCTTCTTTTGCTTTATGAGACTATTGGAGATTTTGACAGTTCGGCACGTGCTCCCGTTGTGGCAAATTGATGAAAGTGGGTTAAGGAACGTGCCCTATTGACTGGCGGTTGAAGGATTTTCTTTAGTTGATTACAATATACGGAGCGAAAATGTTTCTTTAAGCGAACTGATCTTTGTTTTCTTTGGTGCTATTAGTATTTGCATTAAGCGTAGCGTAGTATTGCGTTGTTAACCAGAAGAACAGATAGATATAAACGAGAAAAAGTCTTCTTACTCTGAGCTGTTTTCCCAAACTGAGTTGGGGTCGGCAAGTCTACAACGATACGGTTGAACTTCGATTTTTACGTGGACCGACTGCCATTAGACGTCCACAATACATGTACTAGGCGATATCGAAGTTCTGTAGAAAAGCTGTTGTTGGACTTTTTTTTTTAGGGCTCTTAATACCGCCGCTATCGCCGAGCCATATGTCCATCGGTTTCTCGGGCCTGCCTGGGAGACCGACTTGGACGGCACGGCGGCCCTGGTGCACGGTACCGCAGCCGGCACTCCACCTATTGCGGTAGTTGCAAGGGGACGGGGCTGTGTAGCGGCGATAGTTGGAGATATAGCGGTCGTGGCCGCTTATTTCACGCCGAACCGAAACCTAACTGAGTACGAGCAATGGCTCGCTCAGCTGGCCGTCGTCGTCGATGCCTGTCGCCCCCACCCGGTTCTTGTGCTGGGGGACTTCAACGCCTGGTCGCAGGCTTGGGGTTCCCTGCGCACGAACCCGAGGGGCAGGGCATTGGAGAACTGGGCTGAAAGATTCGGCCTAGTTCTCCTAAACCGGGGGGCCGTGGCCACGTTCGTGACGGCGAGGGGTAGTTCGATCGTGGACATCTCGTTCGCATGCCCCTCGCTAGCGCGTCGTGTCCAAGGCTGGCGCGTCGTTGTCGGGGAGGAGACAGGTTCGGATCACCGATATATTCGGTTTGACGTCTCCGCCCCTGCAGATGGCGCGCCGGTCAGACCGGCACACACCTGAACCACGTTGGGCGCTCAAGCGCTTAGATCGCGACCTCCTCCTGGAAGCCGCCATCGTACAGGCCTGGGCTCCTGCGCCGGACAGGCCTGTCGACGTCGATGCTGAAGCACAGTGGTTCCGGGAGGCCATGACCCGCGTCTGCGATGCGGCGATGCCTAGGGCTCAGCCCAATACTGCAAGGCGCCAGGTCTACTGGTGGTCGCCGGAGATCGCACGGCTGCGTCAAGCCTGCGTGACCGCGCGCCGCCGGTGGTCCAGGTTCCGCAGGAGGCGTCGCCGCCCCGAAGATGCGGCAGCGAGAGAGGCGGAGCTGTTAGCGGGTTACAGGGTTGCCAAGAGGACCCTTCAGGCAGCGATAAAGCGGGCCAAGAGCGAGGCCCGCCGCGAGATGCTGGAGACACTGGAGCGGGATCCGTGGGGACGCCCCTACCGTATGGTTAGGGGCAAGATGCGCCCATGGGCCCCGCCGCTCACACGGTGTCCTTCAGCCAGAGCTGCTTGAGAGGGTCGTTGGCTCCCTGTTCCCAACGCGAGTGGTGGAGCATACTCCGCCACAGATGGCTCCGCCTCCGGCGCTTGAGGCGCCTAACGTGGATGACGACGACGTGCCTGAGGTCACTGGGGTGGAACTAAGGGTGGCGGTGTTACGGCTTAAAGCCAAAAACACCGCCCCGGGACCCGATGGCATTCCTGGCCGAGCGTGGGTCCTGGCCTTAGTCGACGAGGCTCTCGAGCCCCGACTGCGAGGGTTCTTCAGCGCATGCCTAGAGCGGGGCCAGTTTCCGAAATTGTGGAGGACGGGGAAACTGGTCCTCATCCGAAAGGAGGGGCGCCCGGCGGACTCACCGTCCGCCTACCGGCCCATAGTGTTGCTTGACGAGGTGTGCAAGCTCTTTGAAAGAGTGATTGCAAGGCGCCTCGTCAAGCATCTCGTGATGGTTGGGCCGGATCTGGCGGACAACCAGTACGGTTTCCGTCAGGGGCGCTCCACCGTGGATGCGATCATGCGCGTGAAGGCTCTGGCGGAGGAAGCAGTCTCCCGGGGCGAAGTGGTGTTGGCGGTGTCCTTGGACATCGCCAACGCGTTCAACACTATGCCCTGGAGCTGCATCAGGGAGGCGCTCGTGTATCACGAAGTGCCTCTCTACCTCCGCCGCATAGTCGGGGCATATTTGTCGGAGAGAGCCGTCGTCTACCCCAGTAGGACCGGTCTCGGTAGGCGTGAAATGTCGTGCGGTGTTCCGCAGGGGTCGGTGTTAGGGCCACTCTTGTGGAACATCGGCTACGACTGGGTGCTTCGTGGTGCCTTCTTGGATGGTGTCGCCGTCGTGTGCTACGCGGACGACACACTCGTGAGGGGCGCGCGGCAAGACGCACCACGAGGCAACCCTGAGGGCCACGGCCGGGGTTGCCCAAGTCGTTGAGCGTATCCGGCGGCTGGGTCTCGAGGTGGCTCTGCACAAGTCCGAGGCCCTGTTCTTCCACGGGCTTCGGAGGAAGCCGCCTGAGGGATCTAGCCTCACGGTAGGAGGCACTCGCATCGGCATCGAGCCCTCGATCAGGTATCTGGGGCTCGTACTCGATGGCCGATGGGACTTCGGATATCATTTCCGAGGTCTGGTCCCCAAGTTGGTTGGGGCAGCGCGTGCGTTGGCGCGGCTGCTGCCCAACATGAAGGGACCCGATGACTCCTGCCGGAGACTCTACTCGGGGGTTGTGCGGTCCATGGCCCTTTACGGGTGCCCAGTATGGGCGGGGGCCCTGAAGGCCAGCAACGTCGCGATACTGCGGCGACCGCAGCGAATGCTGGCCATCAGGATCATAAGGGGATACCGCACGATCTCCTTCGAGGCGGCGAGTCTCCTGGCCGGAACTCCACCGTGGGACCTGGAGGCGAGAGCCCT